TTGAAAGGTCGCCGGTTCAAATCTGGGGAGCGGGGTGAGCTTCCACTGTTAGCCCCAGCTTCTGCCAACCTAGCAGTTCAAAAACATGCAAATGTGAATAGATCAATAGGTACCGCTCTGGCGGGAAGGTGACAGCACTCCACACAGTCATGCCGGCCACATGACCTTGGAAGCGTCTAAGGACAATGCCGACTCTTCAGCTTAGAAATGGAGATGAGCACCACCCCCCATGACTGGACTTAATGTCAGGGGGAAACCTTTACCTTTACCTATTATTAGTTAGCCAAAAACCAATGTTGTGTTCTCAAATCCTCTCCCACTCCACAAACACAAGCAGGTCTGACTTGCTTTCTTAGCTCAAGAGGTTATCTCTAGCAAGGCAGAATAATATAATCCTTGTGACTTTGCTCATAACTAATGTTCCAGAAAACATAAAGCTAAAGTTCCAAAAGTGCTGGAACATACAAGGCAGCCTTAGAGATTAACAATTATGGCATACGATTTTAAGAGATAATAGCCTTGGCATGTGAACATTAATGTGTTTTTAAAACTGAAGCAAGTTTGACCGGTTGTGCATTTGGAAACTGGGCAGAAGAGCAAAACAATTAACTTTAGCTATGATGCCTCACATTTCAAAATTCAATATTTTCAGAAAAACCGAACATTGATGTATACTAAGATGAGCAGCAAATCTGTCCAATCTGTTCTCTTTTTGTTTCAGCATTAATAACAAATAAGCCTTGTGTGGACATAGAACCCCAAATATGATTCCACCCCCCACCCCTTCAAAACACATTTTGAGGATTTCAGCACAGAATATTAAGTTGATCAACTTGTTTAATGAAGCATGGTCTAGGCAGCTGAATACAATGGCTGATTATATCCAGTCCTCCCTGGTAAATCGAGCATAACTATTTGTATTCCCTCAAGGCAGACTGGGGTCAAGAGAGCCAAAAGGTCCAAATGCACTGTTCTTGCTGTAAGGTTCAAAGGCTATCAGGCAAATGAAACGAACATTCAAGCCTCATTAGTCAAAAGCCAGAGACTAAATCCATAACTCTTTTAGAGAGGAAAGCAAACATTCAAAACAAAGTAAACAGCTTAATCTTATTGATGAAATTGTTGCTCTTGACATAAAATTAGAAAGTTTTCAAGAGAAATAATTGCATGTAGAAGGTTATTTGCCTTGTGTGCAGACAACTAGTCTTTTTGATTGGCTCCGAATATCCCAAATTAGTCTGTGAATTAACCTCATTGATCACAAATTTTATCATACATTTACTTTTATAAATTGACATTAGAATACTTTACAATCTGAAATGAGTATTTACTATAGACAGAGGCTGAATGAAAACACTGCTTCCTCATCTTCAGCTCTATGCAATATTTTACAGTCTCTCTATATATGCTCTGTGGCCCATTATTATCCATTCCCCTGATTGTTTAAAACATTAGACTTTAATATTTATTGATACTGATAATTGGAATGGGGAAAAGTAATATTTTGCCATTAATGCTGGGAAGCTAGGAATGTAATTTATGACATTCTCAGTTAATTCATTAAGGCACTATTTTAAAAAATAAATGAAGAAATGGACAGTGCAGTGATACATTGAATTAAGAATTTAATTCATTCACTGTTTGAGCTCTTAACTCAAAATGCTCTTATCGCAAAGTGAATGTTCCCACTGAAGTGCACTGAAACACTATTAATCCCTTCCAGCCCCCTGAAACATTCTCCTACCACCACCCCCAATTTTGTTACAGGTTTTAAAATAAGAAAATATACTTTATAAATAAAAAAATACATTAATGTGCATTCACATGGAAAGATAAAAAAGAAAGATCAACTTTAAAATGATAGAAGCACAAAGTTGTAGCAAGGAAGCACATTTGACGCAACAAAATGTGTGTTGGCCAGTGTAACAGCAAGGCAAAACCTGCACATTCACATGGAACAATAAAAAAGGAAGACCAACTTAAAATCAACTTCTTTGATGGCTTTTAAGCAGAGGCTGGATGGCCATCTGTCAGGGATGCTTTGAATGCAATTTTCCTGCTTCTTGGCAAGGGGTTGGACTGGATGGCCCACAAGGTCTCTTCCAAATCTATGATTCCATGCTTCTATGATTCTATAAAATGGCAGAAGTATAAAGTTGCAGCACAATGGTAGAAACACAAAGTTGTGGCAAGGAAGCACAAAGCATGAATTGAAGAGGCAGAAGCAACATTTTCTTCATACTGTACTCATTCCAGCCTCCTCCCTCTCTTGCTCTCTCTCCCCCACCCCCCTTCTATTCATGAAACCAAACACACCAGGAGTAAAAACCACATAAAATCAACTAACCCAAAGTTCCTCAAAGCAGACAAGAGCAAAGAAAACAGCAATCTCCCAAAGCAGAACAGAGCACAAGGCACAGAGCTTACTCCCTTGAAGCCCTAAAGCCCTGTACTCTTGAGCTAGTGCTCCCTCTGGCATTAGCTCTTAACTCAAAATGCTGCTCTTATGTCAAAGTGAAACCAGGCTGAGTGACAACTCTTAACTCAAATGCTCTTAAGTTCAGAGGTTCCATTGTACAATGTAAATTTGGCATTGCCCCCAGTTTGTACATTTTGTTGCATAAACAAGGTGAAGATGCTCAGAAAAGAAAATAACACACCACACTGACATGATAGCTATTACACATGTAATTGACAGATTACAGATGATTTGAATAGTTGACAGATGTTGGAAAATGTAAGACTCTATTGGCCTAGCATCTTGACCCATCGGCATGAGGAGGCATCTTCACGACACTAAGAGATACCATGAAGCCTCAAATACCAACCCTAATGTTCCATGGGCATGGTACTCCACTTCCCAGATCCAGGACTATGACAGAAAACCAGGGTTCAATTTACCATTTGGCCATGGAAACACACTGGGTGAACTTGGGTGGATCACATACTGTCAAATCCAGAAACCGTGAGATGGCCTTGGGGTCACCATAAGTCAGAGACAACTTGAAGGCACACCACCACAACAACATGCAAATACTGGGCTCTCCCTCCCAATCCCTTCTCCCCTGCTTTGCTTTTTTTTTTTAGAGTGGTCAATGGATAAGAGAACGTTTATCATTCTGAAGGATCTTGTTACAATTAGAAGTGTATGTGAAAATTAGAGTGTTCCATCTTTTGTTTTTTGAGACTTTCTGGCCAAGCCTCCAGTGAATCCTCAAGGTATTCATTTTGAAACAATAATAGTGTTTGTAGAACTTGTTGTGCTAATTAGGTTACCAAGATACTACCTCCCAAACAATTTACTGAGCTGCTTGCTATTGCAGAACTTTGAGGCATTAATCTAGCATTTTACGAGCTGCGTCACTCAACCATCCTAAGAAGTAAAGCTTTCTTTCTTATTTTTAAGGGTGAATCCTTTTTTTGGCTTTTATTCTGCAACTCTCCTGCCTGAGAAAACATAAGCAATGATACTTTCTCTGGAATGCAAAAACTTCATTAAGCAACACGCATCATGATTTATAACAACTCTTATTTCTCAATTACTGGTTTATCTTACAAGGTAAAGATGGTTCTTATTCCAGAACCTTAAATAGTTAGGAAAACCTGAACGTCTGAACCTCTTTGGAAATTAATTGTTTAGAAATCACATCATTATTTCTAAATACAATAGGACTCCGATATCCATGGGATGGATACCTGAAACCACAGATTATAGTGAAGTCTATACTTTGACTATACATGGCCCAAAATCATGCCATAGAATAACTTTGGAGGACCTAAAGAGGCTCACAAAGACCTTTGTGGAAGAATATTTTTAGAGAATCGATATGTGAACTGTGGATCTTGAGTGTATGGATAACAGGGTCATGCTGTAGGTCTCTCTATATAAGCATAACCATACACCAATTTTATGCAAATCTGAGTCTTCTTTTTCTAGTAGGCCAAATCAACTTATGTCAACTTGACATGACTGCCCTACTACAACTCAAAATGTGCTGGTATCCGTTTCCTGCCTTATGAATATCACTATGTTATGTGCAAGATGTTCAGAAAATTATCTATCTTTATTTGAATACATAATTTTACCAAAGCACTTTGATTTGATTTGATTTCTTAATAAAGAACTTTTAATTGAACTACCCAGCCATTGATTCTTCAGTCAATAGTGTGACAGCCTAAGCCTTTATCTTTCTTCCATCACTTCTTGGGAATCACTTGGCTAAAATTCAACAGAGAGGGGTCCTTGCAATGGAAAATGCATGAAGTTTCAATTATACATTTTCCAAATTTTACCGTATGCCTCCAGTCTCATAAGTACAAGTGGTAGGAGCCCCTGGTGGTATAGGGGGTTAAACCCTTGTGCCAAAAGGACTGAAGACCATGTGGGGACATGAGAGAAGCGTCCCACAAGGAGGGTAAAAATATCAAAACATCCTAGTGTCCCCTGGGTAATGTCCTTGTAGACAGCTAATGCTCTCACACCAGAAGCGATTTGCAGTTTCTCAAGTCGCTCCTGACATACACACAAAAGCACAAGTAGTTTACCAAATGCCCTTATAGTGTTGATGCTAAGCAAGGATAGAAATGTTCAGAATTTGGAAGCAAGTCATTTGAGATATTCAAAACAGAGCATAAAGTAAATGTAAATGCATATTCTGTATAGAGGTAAATGCATGACTTTGTTTACAACATACCATACATAAATCCTAAAGCTTTACTTTGCCAATGAAAGTCCCAGTATTTCATGATCATGTCAAGAAATTGCAGAAATAACAAGCTACAACATTCGCCAGATCACAACCTTTGAACTAAGTAAAATGATTCTGGAAGAAAACACATTCACACTTGCACTTTCCTGTAGATGTAAAATAATTAAAGTCTGTGTTATGGTTTGCATTCATTGTTTCTTAAAAAGAGAAGGGACAAAACTCACAATTGTAATACACAATTGTGAAATTGCTAGAAACAATTACTTTTCATTGGGTAAACTACTATATTACCTCATTATTAATTTCTGTGGCCCTTTTCTTTGGCTCGCCAATGTCCAAGTAGCTGAAAACCAAGAACAGTATGGGTTATATTCAACTGAGGCTTGTTAACAAAATGTTCTGCCTACCATTGCCATCATCCTAACAGTCAACTCAGCTATTTGAGGACCCCCATCATTAAGGTTCATTATAGACTGATGCATCCAAAATCCTACTACTGCACTTGCTTGGGAGAAGTGGGACTTTGGTTCCAAGGATCTGCATGGAGAGAATGTATTTGCTATCAGTGTACAGAATAGTTGAGCATCAAGTCTTCTGAATAAACAAGCAGTTACATTTCTTCCTATTCCATGTTTTTTTTCTCTCCATACTTTGTAACAGATATTATTTTTAAAAAAATCTATGAGTGCATCCCTACATAGATCTGGTCAAAAGTTCAGTTCTAAATAGGTTCCCTCAGAAGTAAATTCTATTGAGTTAAATGGTTTGCTCCTCGATAAGTTTGCACTATGTTGACCTGGTGCAAAAACAGTCTTTATTTCCAGCACTTTTAACAATAGTAGAGGGAATTTTACAAGTGAAAAATGTGACAACCTATTCCTGCTGAAATGTCCTTCCCATTAGAATCCTTAAGGATATAGAAATTCTCTCCCATTTGTTTGCATTTGACCATCCTGCATGGCAATACTGCATAGAATTTCAGCATTACAAAAATCCCTGTCAATGCTGATTGCCAAGTATTCAGACTCTCCAAAAGCCTCACATGTTCAAATCAATGCCACCAAAGATTTTTGAACAGAAGATGTTTTCAATCAATTGTTATTTTTCTTTCCTGAGAAAAGACTTAATGGAAAAATGACAGAAATAATAAGTATGATGATGAAGATGGTTGTTGTTGTTATTAGTATTTCACACACAACAAGATTAGTAGACAGCAAACTAGATCACTATGCTGGCTTTTGCATTTTATCACACGTAGGACACTTCCCAAGTGTCTAGGACTGTGTGATGTTTCGGCAAATAATGTGTGCAGTTCTGAATAGGGTGGCCTTTTGCAGGTGACAGATGGTGATTTTCTCAGCACCAATTGTTTTTTAGTGCAGGCCAAGGACTTTAGGCACTGCACCCAGTGTGCCGATCACCACTGGGACCACCTTTACTGGCTTGTGCCAGAGTCTTTGCAGTTGTTGTTGGTGTTGTTGTTATTTGTACCCTGCTTTTCTCACAGGGCTGGGAGAAATACTTTAGATAAGAAAATATGCAGAGCTGGATGGCAAGGAACAGTTGGAGGAGAATTGAGGAAATGGAACTATGTTTTAAACCAGGGATCCTCAAACTAAGGCCCAGGGGCCAGATACGGCCCTCCAAGGTCACTTACCTGGCCCTTGCTCAGGGTCAACCTAAGTCTGAAACGACTTGAAAGCACACAACAACAGTGACAATCCCATCTCATCAGCCAAAAGCAGGCCCACACTTCCCATTGAAACACTCATAAGTTTATATTTGTTAAAATTGTTCTTCATTTTAATTATTGTATTATTTTAAGTGTTTTTGCACTACAAATAAGATATGTGCAGTGTGCATAAGAATTCATTCATGTTTTTTTCAAATTATAATACTACTCTCCAACAGTTTGAGGGACTGTGACATGGGCCTCTGTTTAAAAAGTTTGAGGACCCTTGTTTTAAACTATGAAACTCTCTATTCCTAACCTATTAATAATAATCTTCATTTTCCTTTGTCTCTCCTAATGAAAAGTAATAGTGTGTCACTGTGTTACAAATGCTTGGTTACTATCATTTAAATGATCACATAGTTTCTAGGCTATTTTAGAGGTCTCGTCCAAGCACTGCTACTCACTTGAGTTTTTTGAAGGCCTCCCGACCACCAGCAACATAGTGCTCTCCACTCTGAATTTCATCTAGTTGCCGGATACGGTGTCCACCGCGGGGTGTGTAAATATTCCGCACAGCCCCAAAAGAAGCATTCACTCCACCAGTCACTTCTTTTAGGAAAACGTCAAAACTAGACATTTTCTTCTCGTGGATGACAACACGACGCCCAGTGAAAAAGGGGTCCCCATTGCGATATACCATCACACTCTTCACCACTGGCTGCGATAGGCATGTTGGCTTGGCATTGGGACTACTCATTGCGGAAAGTCAAATCCCCTCTTCAGGTTCCTGCTTCCAGTAGATTATTTGGACTGTACACCTGCTGGACCAAAAAGCACGAGGTTATGTTTCCTCTCAATCTCTCTCCTACAGATTTGTTCAAATTTCTCATTCAAAACCAGCAAGGTGGACACACGAGGACTGCCATCAATGCAATCTCTCTCCCTAAAGAACCAGAGAAGTGCTTTCTTGGTGTGTCCCTAAGGGTTCAGTTCCAATACAGTTAAAGAGCAACTTCTGCTAGGCAACCAGTTCACGCCACTCTCTTGAGAATGGGAAAGTCAACTTGAGTTTCTTTCCCTACATACTCACATGAACTATCGATGTATGAAAGAAAAACTGAGAAAAACCAAGTCTAGCAAAGAACTCACCCTATTTCCCAGTCTTCAGAGTCTTTTCATTGAAATCACTGGACTCATGAAAACCCAATTTTGTAGTCACTAGAATTGTCAAAATGTTTTCTACCCAAGTACCTTTACACTTGTCCCTTTTCTTTGATCTTAACTCTATCTTCTATTTCTCCTTGCCCCGTCCATTATATGGCAGTGTGGACTCAGACAACCCAGTTCAAAGCAGATATTGTGGATTATCTGCCTTGATATTCGTGGTTATATGGTTATGTGGAATGGCCCATGGTCAGCAAGATCACAATATCCCAAATTAACCTTCTACATTGCCATATAGAATCCAGATTTTCTGCTTTGAACTGGATTATATGGCAGTATATAATCTAGTTCAAAGCAGATAATGTGGGTTATTTGATTTGATGATCTGGATTATATGGGAATGCTGAAGGGGCCACAGAGATAACAAGATAGAGGAGGAGCATTATCAAATATTGACAGGCAAACAATAACTGTTTATCATAATCTTCAGCAAGCACTCTGTGTGGAAAAAAAATAACAGCATAGGACAGAGAAATGAATAATCACAAGTTTTTCTTGCTGTTTCCCTAACAGATTTTTTGATCCGCTTTATCTCAGAGATACAACAAAATTAAAATGTACAATCCTCATGTAATGGGTGAATTACGCTTGTTTGGATGCAGATAAAGAATATCATACAGAAAGGGAGAGGGGAAATCTGCAAGTATTAGAAGAGGTGCAACCTCACTTGGTATCTTTTTCAGAAGGGAAAAGATGGTCCTTCCGTTTACAAATCTAGAAAAGGAAAATTTTCCAAGTTTCTAAAATCATGTCAGAAGCAAGTTGAGAACATACTGCAAGTCGCTTCTGATGTGAGAGAATTGGCTGTTTACAGAGACGATGCCCAGGGAATGCCTGGATGTGTTACCATCCTGTTAGGAGGCTTCTCTCATGTCCCCACAAGCTATAGCTGACAGATGGGAGCTCACCCTGTCTCACAGATTCAAACCGGCAACTTTCAGGTCAGCAACCCAACCTTCAGGTCAGCAGTTCAGCCAGTACAAGGATTTAACCCATTGTACCACTGCGACTCCTTTTTTTCCAAGTGTGATCTACAGATATACAGAGATGCTTGGCTGCAATACCAGTTTGTCACTTGGTAAAGTACTAGAGAAAGCCAGTATGGTGTAGTGGTTTGAGGGTTGGACTATGGTTTTGGAGACCAGGGTTCAAATCCTTGGTTAGCTATGTAAGCCCATTGGATGACCTTGGGTGACCCATTCCAATGGACGACCCATTGGAACACAAGCTCTTAGCCTTAGAGCAGGCTTTGCCCCTCTGAGATTTGCCTCTCTGAGCAAATCTTGCCATGGAACCCTTGTAAGAGAGTCACCAGAGTGACCATGTCAGAAATGACTTGAAATAAATATCTAGCTGTAAAATAAAAAAAAACCTCACTAAACTACAAATCCCAAGATTCCACAGGATGGAGTCAAGGCAGTTAAAGTGGTATAGAAGTATTACCATTATGTAGTGAGAGGCCAGCAGAGATATAGAGATATTGTTATCATGATTCTATCACCTTTGGATGTAATCTCTCATGCTTATCTTTTTCTCCTGTGAGTGAAGATCTGGCTGCAACCATATTACCAAAACTACACTTTCATTTAATCCACCCAACTACTCATCCTCCAGGACTCAGACACACTCTCCTATTACCTTAGAAAGCAGATTCTCCAATTATTAATTTACACAGCAAAAGATCCCAAAGGCGCAAGCCTGACACAACACCACACTTTCTGACCACAAGCTCTCCTATCTGCCACACACGCATACATCCTGTTTGTAGTTACTCATTAGTAAAATGAAAGGTCTTTTCACATTTTCAGAAACATTCTCATCACAGTACTACTTCACCTCACCCAGGAGCTGGATACTGGTGATTTCCAGTACAGGAATCAGCTGAACCCATACATTTCTGAATGGGAGAGAGGGAGGACAGGCAAAGGTCCTCTTCAATGATGTCCTTCTTATCCATTTTAGAATGTTATGTGGAGTCTTAAATTGGAAGGCCTGGGTTTCATTAACCCTCTATACACACAGCTATGTCCCATAAACCATTTTTTCAGTACCTATCAATCTGTGTAACCTTCATGTCCCAATTTGCAATTTCTCCTGGAGAAACATTAGTTTCAAGTTGTTTGCCCCTCTGAGGGGACTTGCATTGTAGTCCCTCTGTGACCATGGATTCAGCATCCACAGATCCAATCCAACTGTCTACAACAGGGGTCCTCAAACTAAGGGCTGGGGGCCAGATACGGCCCTCCAAGGCCATTTACCCGGCCCTTGCTCAGTGTCAACCTAAGTCTGAAACAACTTGAAAGCACACAACAACAACAACAACAACAACAATCCTATCTCATCAGCCAAAAGCAGGCCCACACTTCCCATTGAAATACTAATAAGTTTATATTTCTTTAAAATTGTTCTTCATTTTAATTATTGTATTGTTTTAAAGTGGTTTTTACACTACAAATAAGATATGTGCAGTGTGCATAGGAATCAATTCATTATTTTTTTTCAAATTATAATCCAGCACTCCAACAGTTTGAGGGACTGTGACCTGGCCCTCTGTCTATAACATTTATCATCATCATCATCATCATCATCATCATCATCATCATCTTTAGGGCCCTTGGTCTATAACATTTATCATCATCATCATCATCTTTATTTATAACCTGCCTCTCTCCCCAAAGGGGTTCAGAGTGGCATACCAAAAAAAATGACAAGCATTCAATGCCCAAAAACAGACAAACAACAATCAAAGCAAAACATGAAATAAAATACTCACTATAACTTAACCAATATCGAGGGTTAAACTAAATAAACATGATACACACAAATAATCAAACCAATTAAAAAGTATAATATAATATATCACATTAGCAGGCTGAGGTAAGTATCCGATGTCAAGGCAAAGATGTGTGTAAGGTATGCTAATCCTCTTCCTCTCCATAAACTAGATTACTCAAATGGGTCTTTAAAGAATTTTTAAAGGAGAGGAGAGAGGGGGCCAGTTTTATTTCTTTTGGAAGGAAGTTCCAGAGGTGGAGATTGGCCACGGAGAAGGCCCCCTCACTCGTTCCCACCAACCTCGCCTGAGAGGGAGGTGGGATTGAGAGCAGGGCCTCCTCCACGGACCACAGTGCTCATGCTGATTTGTATGCAGAGATGCACTCTTTCAAATAGTTTGTGCCTGAACCAGGCAGGACTTTATAGGTAATAACCAGCACTTTGTATTTAGCCCAGAAGTGGACCGGCAGCCAGTGGAGCTGACATAACATGGGAGTAGTTCTCTCCCTGTATGGCCCTCTAGTTAGTAATCTGGCTGCTGATCTCTGAACCAGTTGCAGCTTCCAAACTATCTTCAATGGCAGCCCCTCGTAGAGAGCATTGCAATAGTCCAGATAGGAAGTAACCAAGGTGTGGACTACCATGGCCAGGTCTGGCATCTTGAGATTTGGGCGCAGCTGGCACACAAGTTTTAGTTGTGCGAAGGTGCTCCTGGCCAGCACCGACCCCTAGGGTTCCAGGGTCAGGGATGAGTCCAGGGTCACCCACAAATTGCGAACCTGTGTCTTCATGGGGAGTGTGACCCCATCCAGCACATGTTGTAATCCCAACCCCTGATCCATCTTCTGACTGACCAGGAGTACCTCTGTCTTGTCTGAATTTACCTTCAACTTATTAACTCTCATCCAGTCCATCACCGATTTATTTTTAAAGTCTCCCAAACACATCATGATTTTAGTATTCTGTATATCATATATTTGGGGATTTGGGCACTCATGGATATAGGGATCCTGGAACAAACCCCAGTAGATACTGAGAACCCACTGTACCTGTTCTACCTTGTCTTAAGAAACTTCACTCTTCTATACTGCCCTAGATCCCAGCATCCAATCCCAGATTATCAGCTTAAAACTGGATTATATTAGTTTCCTCTGCTAGATAATGTTGGGTAAATAGACAATCTGGGATCAGATCCTGGGATATAGTGCAATGTATAAGGGGGCTGAGACCTCTTTTTAAGGTTGTGTCCACACTGTAGAATTAATGCAGTTAAATCACACTTTAAGTGCTATGGCTGGATGCTATGGAATCCTGGGAGTTAGAACTCAGGATCCTATAGTATTGAGCTAAAGCAGTAAGACTGTATTAATTCTGCAGTGTAGATCAGGCATGGGCAAACTTTGGCCCTCCAGGTATTTTGGAGTTCAACTCCCGCAATCCCTAACAGCCTACCAGCTGTTAGGAATTGTGGGAGTTGAAGTCCAAAACACCTGGAGGGACAAAGTTTGCCCATACCAGTGTAGATGCACTCTTTGAAAGAATCATAAGGTTCCCACATTTCCCTTTTCTCTCTCTTCTCTCTGTATTTGATCATCCCGAGTCAACCCTGGTGCCTCCTTCCTTAGGTGAGACCTAGAGCTACCTGGGGGTCCCTCCTGCATCCACATGCCCGCTAGTTGGTGTCGCTTTCCTTTTACATCTCCCCAAGCAGCTGCACTAAAAGAGGCACCTCAGAGGGAGAGAAAGAGAAAGTGACCTGAAAGAAACAGGTAAGAAAAAGTAAAGGGCACCGAGGGCAAGCCATGAAAGGGGGTTTTAACAGAGAAGAGGGGTGAAACAGAGAAGGGGCCAACAGGTAACAGCACCTGAGTGCAGCAAAGTCCCACCAGTCCTGCACCTGCCTCTGAAGGGTGTGTGTGGCCGCGGCGTCCCAGCTTCATGCTCTGCTCTCCTCTGCTCTGGCCCTTGGCTGCTGGCTGGCTGCTCCTGTTCCCAAAGGGAGGAGAAAGAGGAGGAGGAGGAGAAAGCAATTGCTTCCCCTCCTCACCTCCCAGCTGTTTCTAAGGCAACCCACAGAGGGAAAGGCCAGGGGAAAGCAAGCCACCTCTCCCCATCCCTCCAAAAGCCCCTCCATGGTGCACAGAGCAGTTGCTGGGTGCCTTCCATTCATTTCCAATTAGTGGTAATCCTAAGGTTTCTTTGGCAATATATGTTCAGAGGAAGTTTTACTGTTTGTAGATTTTAAATTGTGTTGAATTATTTGCCTGCCTCTGAGGCTGAGAGAGTGTGACTTGTTCACAAGAGTTATTATATTATTATTGTTTGAAACACAAGATGAGTCCACAGCAAACAAGATCACTCTGCTGGCTGTTGTATTGGATCACATGTCGGACACTTCTCAAGTGTCTAGGACTGTGTGATGTATTGGTGAATAATGCGTGCAGATCCCAGTAAGGTGGCCTTCTGCAGCTGGCAATTTTGTCAGCGCCAATTGTATTTAAGTACAGGCCAAGGTCTTTGGGCACTGCACCCAGTGTGCCGATCACCACTGGGACCACCTCTACTGGTTTGTGCCAGAGTCTTTGCAGTTCAAACTTTAAATCCTCATATCGTGTCAGCTTTTCCAGTTGTTTCTCTTCAATCCTGCTGTCGTCTGGGATTGTAACCTCAATGATCCATACTTTGTTTTTAACACAATCGTCAGGTCAGGAATATTGTGCTCCAAAACTCTGTCTGTCTGAATGCAGAAGTCCCAGAGTAGTTTGACGTGTTCATTTTCTGTAACTTTTTCAGGCTCGTGATCCCACCAGTTCTTTGTCACAGGCAGATGGTATTTGTGGCACAAGTTCCAATTAATAATCTGAGCAACAGTGTTATGCTTCTGCTTGTAGTCTGTCTGTCAGATCCCAAATGCAGAGTCTACATTTGGGATCTGTCATCGACTTTTCAATCCTGGCTTTGATGGCATTGGTATTAATGGCTTGTTCTTGGGCTGCCAGAATCAGGCACTCTGTCTCCTTTTTCAGAGTTCCATTTGTGAGCCACAGCCATGTTTTTTCTTTGTCAATTTGGCTCTTAATTTTTCCCAGGAACTGTCCATGGAGAGCCTTCTTTTGCCAGTTTTCTCTTCTGCTCTTGGATTGCGTTTTTCACTCTTTGTCTTTTGCACTTTAATCAGTTTACTACTATTGACTTCCCCCAATGTTGGTTCTTGACTGCCTTTCACATAATCTGCCAGTGCGTGTTTCTCTTCTTCTACCATTTGTTTCACTTGCAGAAGCCCTCTGCCTCCTGATTTTCTAGTGTCAACATCACTACGTAGGTGTGTAATGAGTAGTGGATTGTCATCAGTTTTCTTGTTTTTCTGTCCAGATCACCCAGCTCTGTTTGTGTCCAGTTCACAATTCCAGCAGTATATCTAATGATGGGGATAGTGTTGATAACCTTGATTGTATTTCCACCATTTAATTTGCTCTTCAAAACCATTCTGACTCTTTGGACATATTCTTTGCTGACCACATTTTTCACATGTCCATGCTTGAAGGTACTGGATTGACCTTGAAGGAGCTGGGGGGTGACGGCCGACAGGGAGCTCTGGTGTGGGCTGGTCCACAAGGTCACGAAGAGTCGGAGACGACTGAATGAATGAACAACAACAACAACAACAATGCTTGATATTGTCCCAACTGTAGTATGTCCAGATATATTTATAGGCTTCAGGCTGATTGCATTTTATGGTTTGTCCATTTGGCATCTCTGTGCCCTCGCTGTGAGTAATTTTCCCTTTCTTTATTATTATTGTTGATGTTATTGTTGTTGTTGTTGGGGAGCTTTTTTTGTTGTTGTTCTTTTTCTCTTTCTAAGCTTTATACTTTCTCTATTTGATGTTCTCCCACTTTCGCTGTATTGGGGGGGGGGGGGTAGTATTATAGGAATGTATAGGATAATTTACTTACCTGTGTGTCCAATGTCAAATGTTGTTCTTGTTTAATGTCTTTTATGATACTTATCAATAAAAATCATAATAGAAAAAAATAAAAATAGGCTGTTTATTGTAAGCTGTTGGGGAAGGCCTGCTTCCATAAAAAGGTCTTAACGTGGGAGTGAAATGCGAATAGTAAAGGGGCTGAATGCACTTCTTTGGGAAGGGAGCTTCAGAGCCACAGGGCCACCACCGAAAAGGCCCCCTCTCTCATTCCCTCTAACCGTATTTGTGACGGTGGTGGAACCGAGAGAAGGGCCTCTCCTGATGATCTCAGGGCTTGTGCAGACTGATAGGAGGAGATGTGGTCCCTCAAGTAGGCTAGGCCCAAACCTTTTAGGGCTTTATAGGCTAGCATCTTGAATTATGCCCAGAAACAAACAGGAAGCCAATGTAACTGCTTCAGGAGCTGATAGTTCTTTCCCTATATCCTGCTCCTGTCAGCAGTCTAGCTGCTATGTAACATGATTTTTTTTCTTGGCTTACAAATGTCATTTCTTAATTTGTTCTATCATAAAAAAACATGGGGAAAGTTTATTAAACTGCAAAAACTTTGGGGGTTTTTTGCTGTCTGCACAAAAGGTTAAAAATAGCATATGAAAGTTTAAAAAATGGCATATTGGAAAGTGAAAAAATTGCAGCCACAAAAAAACAAAGTTTCTGGAGTACAGCAACTACTTTCAAAGTAAGTACCACACAATTAAACAGGAAATAATATTTTCAAACGAGGGACAGATTTTGTTTCAAATTTTGTTACATAGTGATATTATTATTATTATTATTATTATTATTATTATTATTATTATGTTTATTAAACCCCACTTTTTCTCTCCACAGAGGAGACTCAAGGCGTCTTACATGAAAAGTATTTCAATACTATTTAAAATCTAGTAATATGCAAACATTTAAAAAGAATTAAATATTTCAATGGCATTAAAAATTCACTGGTAAAATCCATAAAAACAAAGCTAAAAACCACAGCATCCCCTGACTTAGGAGCACCAAAATGTGCTCCTAACTGTGAAAGAGTGTGAAGAATAGCAATGCCAGAAAATATCTACTATAATGTTATGAACAGAGATCCTACAGAGGCAAACTTACATTGTGCCCAAATATTGATTACAGTAAAGCAAGTCATCCACATTTTGACATTATAAAAGTACTCTGAAAGTGTGAGTTCTCAATTCCCCCAAGATTCCTCTTTGCTGTAGATAGAAATAAGCTTTTTGTCATTGTGTGCCTTCAAGACATTTCTGACTTTATAGGGACATTAAGAGGAACCTATCATAAGGTTTACTTGAGAAGAATTGTTCAGAGAGGGTTTGCCATTGCCTTCCTCTGAGGCTGAGAGAATGTGACTTGCCAGTGCTTATGAGGGAGACATAGTTCTGCTAAACAGTGAGTTTCAGTGGCTGAATGAATCTTGAATAGTCCAACACTTAAGCTGCTACACCACTTTGTGATATATTTCCTTGGTATTGTTACAGGAAGTATGGCTGGGCTTAACAGACAAAGATGAGAAATGGGCAGGAAAGAGCAAAAATCGGGGGAAGGGGCATGGTGTCACACATAGAAGAAAGACGGAAAGAAGAGACATAGTTTGGAGATTGAAAGACAAGGTTAGGGGTTCTAGTGCCTAGTGGATACCTGGTTAGTCTGCTGGTACCTGCTGGAAAAAAAAAAGAAGAGATGGCAGTTGCCATATCCTGACTGCTCTTGGATTCCAATGGCTTCCTAACTGTTCCTAACTGTCACCCATAGAAGAACCAGCGCTTGATTATTACTACTATTATCATCACGATTATGATTTTATTATTAAGTACAGCTTGTCTGCTACCCCGAAAGTACTCGCTCTCCTCTGATCTAGGAAGCTAAGCAGGATCATCTCTGGTTAGTACTTCTATGGGAGAGTCCTCAGCAGGGCCTGTAAAAGGGTGGTTCAGCCAGTGCATTAATCCAGGCCCCAAAGAGCCAAGGAAGAGACAATGAATTTCTGACACAAAAAGCTTTGTTAATATTTTATCATCACAATATTTTTCTACAACAAAGGAAAAACCGTAGCTATAAAATGTCATATATTACCATTACCTTTATTGAAAACACTCAATTGAGAATAATCAATTGTGAGAGCACGCTCAAGCCGTCTTGTTGTGCAGACTTCTCCTGGATGCCCTGGTGCTATAAACTGTCTTTCAGAAAAGGTTAAAGGTAAAGCTTTTCCCCTGACCTTAAGTCCAGTCATGTCTGACTCTGGGGTTGGTGCTCATCTCCATTTCTAAGCGGAAGAGCCAGCACTGTCCGTAGACACCTCCAAGGTCATGTGGCCAACATGACTGCATGGAGTGCCGTTACCTTTCCACCAGAGCGGTACCTATTGATCTACTCACATTTGCATGTTTTCAAACTGCTAGGTTGGCAGAAGCTGGGGCTGACAGCGGAAGCTCACACTGCTTTCTGGATTCGGACCTGCGACCTTTTGGTCAACAAGTTTAGCATCTAAGTGGTTTAACCCACTGCACCACTGGGAGCTACAGAAAAAGTCAATGCCAAACCATGTGCAAGAAAACTCAATGAAATCGGATTGAAATAAATTGACGGGTGACTTGAAGAATCTCTGCACACAGTATAGACACCATACTTTCAGGAACTAGGATACCAGATTTTGTGTAGATACATGAAACCATACAAAATAACAAACACTACTGGAATAAAGGACATCTGGGGGGGGGGTGTGAGTGTGAGTATACTTTAGAGGACCTATAAAATGCCTAAAGAGGGCATACTTTTTGGAAGTGGATAACTGATGATGATGATGATGATGATGATGATGATGATGATGTCGCCTGGGATGTTGAAATCCCAGGCGACAGCAGGATTGAAGAGAAACAACTGGAAAAGCTGACATAATATGAGGATTTAAAGTTCGAACTGCAAAGACTCTGGCACAAGCCAGTAAAGGTGGTCCCAGTGGTGATCGCAACAC